TTTTTTTTTTTTGTGTTTTTTTTTTCCACTTCTTTTTCATAAGGATGGAGTTTGCCGTCAGTCGACTTCAGAAGTGTGGAAACAAGCGGGGTTTGTACATCTTGAGATGTAGCCCCAAAGACTTTAATAAGTATTTCATAACTTTCCCAGTGGAGGTGAGTTTTTCCACTTTCAGCAGTTTGACCAAAATTAAGAGACAGATACAAACCTTCAAAAATATATATTTTTTAAATATATATTTTTGAAATATTTGAATGCAATCTTTTAGCATCTACACTCTACAAGTGAGGCTTGCAAGCAGAAATGCAAGACTAGTAAAGACAAAAATTGGACTGATCCATGCAAAGAAAAAAATATTGCAAAGCAGAAAGGCTAAAATCACAGAAAATAGAGAACAAGCAAAATGTAAACAATAATTACTATGAATGAATGTTTTTCAGTTGAAACTTTTTCAAACACTGAATCCTTCTGATCGTCCTGTTTATGTTAGACATAAACAGCACTAATGAGTTCATAATCGTCTCCTCCCAGTGGTCTGTAGCACTTTGTTGTGCAATGCTGTTTTGCAGCTTCTCTGAACTTGCAGGTGTTTTTGCGACTGATATGTTTGCATCATTTATGGTGTTTGCAGCAGGATTCGTGTTAACTGTAATTTTCTGTGGTTGCAGCATATCTATTTCGTTGGGGTTTTTCTTTGCGTGTGATTTCATTTTTTGATAAAGCTTAATTTTGTGTTTGCGGGTCTCATTTTTGTGTTTTTGAACTGGATGCGCTTTAAAATATTTGTTGATGTTTTTCTTTGTTTTTTTTTTTTGTACTACTGTGACACTGTGGAAAATATAAGAAATGCATATTTTGGTTGCAGTTTTATTTTTCTTTGCTGAACTAAATGGTTCTAATTGTGTTGAACCTTAAGAGGTTGTGTTCCTGAATACTCCTTGTCTGGATCACTTATACTGTTTGGGCTCTGCTTTGTGTCTGCCAGGTGTTTGATTCGGTGAATTACAAGCACTGCCAGGTCACCAGGTCTGCCTCTGGTGATTATAACCTCAGTGGAACAAAAAGAAACTTCAGTACCTTGCAGGAGTTGCTCCGCTGCTACCAAAAAGAAACGGTTCGCTCGGACAATATTGTTTTCCAGTTCAGCAAGTGCTGTCCTCCTCAGTACAAAGGTAAACCTGGTATTTTGTTTTAATGCAATCTTTGGAAATGTAGATCTTAATAAAAAAGAGTTGCAGCAAAGTATATTTTAGCAAAATAAATAGGGCTAACACCAGAGCTGTGATATCAGAGCTCTGTTTGCTTTAGAATATTTTGGTCATTATTTTTTAATAAACCTCCCGCTACAGGCAATTATATGTACAAATGTATGCATGTATATCTCAAATGGCAACCTGCAATAAGTATTAGCTCATGAAAACAAAGAAAGGAGAAAAAAGTCATCCTAACAGCGGATATACTAATTGATGTGTTTAAGTCCAGTACAGTTTCCCATAAACAATAAACTTCCTTGCTGAGATTTTTATCTTAATTTCATTTTAATACTTTCTTATTTAACTTCTTTATTTAATTTATAAGTATTTTTTATGTTTGCATCTATAGCCATTTCAAATATGTGTTAGAGAACAATATGTTTTATTTATGAAACATATTGTTCTGTAAATCTACGCCTCCAAATAAAAGACAAAAGGCTGCATTGTGTGATCAGCAACAGTTCAAGGCCTTCAAATAGCAAACAAGTACAGTAAATAATGAGTAATCCCTCTATCTTTCACTTTATCTGATGAAGGTTTACTTTGTTTTGAAATGTGTCCAAATTGGTTTCCTGCCGGCTGCTGCTTTTGTCTTTGTGTCCCCTGGCTAAAAAAAAAAAAAAAAAAATCCCTTTGCTCTGAAATGCTGTACTTTCTTTCAGATGTTTAAGTTTGTTGGATCATAAGCCACAAGGACATTCTACCTCTCTGTGAAACTTCTTTGTGAGCGTTGCCCTTTGTAGTCTTTATTTGCCGTGTTTTTCAAACCGTAGACATGAGGTGACTAGAAGTTGGTTACAGTGCTGGCCTTAATACTAGATGGCTGATAATTGTGGAATAGACTTCCTGAGCAGAGCCTACTGCCCGCCTCAAGAGACCCGCTTACATTTACAGAGCAGGAAATGATGACGTCATACACTTTGTTTTAAAAAAATATATAAATATAAAAAATATAACCGCGGATGTCTGGGGGACAGTGATTCGCCTACATGTTATGAATGCTGGCGTGCCATAAAGAATACATTATGAACAGTTTAGTTTGTGCTTTCAACTCGTTGCCCATAGGAACAACAGGAAGACGTTAATTGGATATTACAAAACCGAATATCTTCAGCTCCAAATGACACAAAACTAATATGGGTGAGTAGAACATGATGTAATAACGTAAAATCAAGGGACCATTGTAAAAAAAAAAAAAGGTGTTCCCCTTTAAGTTGGAAGTCACAATATGTATTGTAAATCCCTTTATTGTCCCACAATGGGGAAATTCACTCTGCATTCAACCCAGAGTGGAGGCTTTGGGGATCAAACCTGGTACTGGTAACCTTCTCAACACAAGCGGCGCACTGTTCTAACCACTAGACAAACACTCCCCCTTATATTCTGGGGGAAATTAGCTATTTGAAGGAGGTCTGCATTCTCAGAGTATTTTTCTTCAGTCAAAAACTAGCCTTCTTAGTGTTTTCTTCCCTTTTATTAGAAATAAATCAGTGTTTTCTCATATATATATATATATTTTTTTTTTCTTTCTTTCTTTTTCTACCTTATGATCAAATGCCTTCTTAATACTTAAATTTCAGCTTGCCAGTCAGCACTAAAACCAGTGTTAACTGATAAACAGCAAGATAATAATCATTTATCATTCTAATGAAACTGTTTTCAGCGTTTTCTACAGCTCTGAGGGAGCAGTGGGCTTCTTCTACTTAGCATTGTGGGAACCCAGAACAGCATGACTCTAAGGCCATGGATAAATAGGATCCAGTTTAAAAAAAAAATACTTTTATGATTTTAAGGTTTTTTTTCGTATTTTATTGTGGTACAGAGATTGTGAAGCTAACCAGTGAACAAGGCGAGTGTCTCCACTGTGGTGCCTGGCATTTTCAAATCAGCTGTAATATGTAAAAAGCAAAGATGAAGAAGACATTTACTTGCTTACTATTTTGATGCACTTTGTTGTCAGATACCATGTTAATGTGAGCCACAGAGAAAAGCCGTTCTTGGAAAAGAAAAAATCACAATAACCATGAACCTTTGAAAATGCCTTGATCCCAGTTTTCTTTCATAAGTTTTACCAGAAGTGGTTTCACTGAAAGAGATGAAGAAATTGTGTTCACTGTTTCTCCTGGAGGCCTGACTCATAACACCAGCTCTAAATCCAAGACTAGAACCTTTTCTTTTTGTTTTAGCAACCAAAAGTTTCAAATATGTTTTTGAATCTGATCTTTTCTCCTTTCTGTTTCCATTCTTTTCTCCGAACAGAAAAATCCTGCCTCCTCATCTGCAGGAGCAACAAGGGTTCTGAAGTGTCTCTCTCTCCCTCACTGCAAAGACACAACATTAGTCAGATGGTGTTTCACAAGATCAGGAAGGAAGACTTGGACTATGTAAGCTTTCTGTGCAGGCTACGAGCTGTGATGTCAATACTTCCCTGTTTGTCTATTAATTGCATAAGCTCTCTTAAAACTTGGAATTTGTCCCTCATTTCAAGTATGTCGCCTCCCTAACATGTTTAGAAAGTCACTTTAATCTTGGTGCAATCATGTTTTTTTTTGTCAGGTGGAAAGCCTTGGACAAGGGACATTTACAAAGATCTTCAAAGGGGTCCGAAAGGAGCTGGGAGACTATGGACAGATGCACGAAACAGAAGTTGTAATGAAAGTTCTGGACGTGGCCCACAGAAATTATGCCGAGGTCTGTGGTTTCAAAGCTGTCCGCTGTGCATTTATGCAACCAATATAACAGAAATGCCCTTTTTTCCCCAAGCATTGTTATTCCAATTTGCACCTATTTACTTTTGATGGTATTCAAGTCAGAGCCTTGTAAAAAAAAAAAAAAAAAAAATGGTTTGACCATGCATTTACATGCAGCCTTTGTTCAGCCTAAACCGGGTTCCTTTACAGTTTTAAAAACATGTAAATTTTATTAAATTTTTATTCTTTTGTGAGGTTGATATATTTTACATGAAGCAATATTATACAGACGTCACGGCTATTTTAAAGATCAGTGCTTCTGATTATGTAAAGAAGTACAGTAGATGTCAAGATGCTCAAACAGATGTGGAAAAACATCTGCAGTTCTTTCTACTACATTAATATCAGACACATGTATGCATTTAGATTAAACATTTAAAGAATTCAAGTAGTTACCTGTAAAGTCATATTTAATGTATCAGATAGAGCCCTATTGTTAGGACACACTGCAAAAACGACCTAGAAATAGGGAAAAAAAATTCTGAAATTAAGAGTATTTACCCTTAATTTGAATAGATAAATAAGAGGATTTAACAATGGAATGAGTATTTTAAAACTTCAAATAAGATATTTAGATAATATGCACTTGAAAAAAGATGATGAAATTTTTTCTCCCAATTTAAATGAACATTGTCTTGTTTCATTGACAAGGTGTCTCACTGGCTTTCTCAATTCAAGACAAAATGCACTTTAAGAAAAAATGGCTTATTTAGATTCACATTTTTCGCAGTGCAGAACTGACTTAACTATCCGACGGACGTTTTTTGTCTCCATCTGGTTTTCCAGTCTTTCTATGAAGCAGCCAGCATGATGAGCCAGTTGTCCCATAAACACCTGATCCTGAACTATGGTGTGTGCGTCTGTGGAGAAGAGAGTAAGTCTTGGGTTGCATTTTTAGTGAATCTGTTTTTTATGCTCGTTTTAAATTAGGCTAAAAGAAATAGTCGAGAAATAATAAAAAAAACTTGGTGTTCAAAGTTTTGAATATTACTACGAATAGCTAAACTTCTCTTGTTTAAAGAAATTGACTCTTTTACATACGGTTGTAATGTGCAATTTTTACTTGAACGTTAGTGTCTTCATTCATGTCACAACAAATAAATTGCATTTATTAATTTATATCTTACCCATTTAATAGAATAGGTAAGAAAGAATGATGAAAAACTGATGTTACTTTTTAGAAAGATGCAGTGGCATCAAAAGGATTCTCAAAGATTGCTTTAAAACACAACAGTCTAGTGTGTCTGTTTAAGATGTGGTCGAGGACTTAAAAAAATTCTCCTTTTCTTTTAAACAAAAAATAACCCAAATACAAAAAAAAGAGAAAAATCCAACCCTTGATTTAATTACATTACTTTGGTGGTAAAAATAAAATCACATGCTAACGGTTGTGCTGCACTTCTTGCCCTGAACATGCCTGTGGTTTTTTTTGTGACATTTTGCTGCATCTGCTTAGAGACGCTCAGTCTCTCTCCCTCCTCAGGGATTTTTTATAGCGGCCATGTTGTGACCGGGACTTCGGTCGACTTGAAACTTTTCTAAAGAGAGAGGGGAAGGGTAGAGACGTAAGGGCTGAGCTGAGGAGGACAGCCGAGAGAGATTTAATAAATGCCTTAAAATGTTTCTAATTATCCATCCATTTTCTGTCACGCTTATCCCAATGCTATTTTGCTAGCAATTCACCCCCGATCACGTGACCCATCATATCGTGGCCTCTGCGGTTAGAAAATCTCGTTTTACCATATTGCGATATTATTGCAAATGCAATTAATCATTCAGCGCTGGGACCAATCAAATATCGGAAATTGGTCCCAATATCAGCCAAAAACAAAACCCACATCAGAATAAACTCAATAACTGTGTACTTGAATTAACAATTATTAAATGACTTAATTAGTGAAATTTGAGTTAAGTTTGAATAATCTTTTAATCATGAATAACTGCTGCAGCCACCATAAAAACGTAAATTTTCTTAAAAGCATTGAATTTTATACTTCCCATATATGAGGTACCTTCTACTGCTTGACTAAACAATTGCAGTTTTTTATTTTTAATATATGACGTTTTTTTTTTAAGCTATATAACAAAACAAAGTAAAAAACCTTGTTTGTTCCCTTCCAGATATCATGGTGCAGGAGTATGTAAGGTTTGGCTCTCTGGACACCTACCTCAAGAAGAACAAGAACTCTATAAACATTCAGTGGAAGCTGGAAGTGTCAAAACAGCTGGCCTGGGCCATGAACTTCCTGGTACAAATCTGTATTTTATACCAGCTTCCATGCTTATTTTGCAGACTTTGTGGTATTTTTGTATGTTAAAAATGAATTTGTAAAATATTAAATGTGTAAAATATATGTGTAATTTACATTTTTTTTTTACAAGTCTCTCTTTGTACCGGTAGGAAGAGAAGAATCTTGTCCATGGGAATGTTTGTGCCAAAAATGTTCTGCTGATCAGGGAGGAGGATCGGAAAGCTGGGAACCCTCCTTTCATCAAGCTCAGTGACCCTGGAATCAGCATCAGCATCCTGCCTAAAGAGAGTGAGTTTGGCTGGGCTGTCATTACCCATGTTTAACAGCAGGGGGAGCTGACAGGCGCAAGCCTCACTTGAACATTTAGTTGTGTAGTAGTGCTGATGAAACGACAAAAGTAAATAAAAGTTAATACACAGAGACTCTGATGAAAACAAGACTTAAATCTGTTATCATAGACAACTATTTTCTTTTTTTAATTCATGTAGTGTCGTATTAGCACTTTCTTCTCTCCACAACAATCTTTTTGAATTGTTTAAATTGTTACAGCTCTGAGATTTCTAATCTTAATGTTTACAGATCGCACATTAAATCGAATTGGATAAAACTGTTTTTGTTTTTACCTGAAAATACACCCTGAGCTGTTTTTGTTTGTAATCAGTCCTGATTGAAAGGATCCCCTGGGTGCCACCTGAATACATACAGGAGTCTACCAAGCTGAGCCTAGCAGCAGACAAGTGGAGCTTTGGCACCACGTTGTGGGAAATATGCAGCGGTGGAGAGAAACCCCTCGCAGGGCTGGACAACTCTAAGGTGGGACTGAGTTTATGGCCAACAACATATTAAGTTCTAAAGAAAAAGAGCCATTGGAAAGACTGACAAAGAATTATATTGGATGGTAATGAGATCTTGATGCTGAATCTGTTTTTGTTAGCGTTCGTAAAACATAAATCTGAATCCATTAAACTAATAGTAATTGAAGTCTTTCCAATGCATCATTAAATTCAGCAGAAGCAGGGCCTTTTCTGCCCATTTATCACAAATTAGCCTTCAATTAGCTTAGAAAGCTCCACCCACACTCATAAAACATTGCATGAAGGGCGCCAAAAATAAAAACATTAGATATTTAAATAAAAAAAATTTGAAGATTCTTATTAGATATAAACAAGTCAAAACAAAAATATTTGCTCGGGAAAGGGATAGGCCTTTTTCCAGCCTCTTCCATGGTGTTCCCTTCTCTACCTCCTGCCAATGGTCTCCATTATGCCTCAGACCTGTGTTTAGAAAATGCATCGAGAGTCGGGAGTGGGAAAGAGGAAAATGCAGAGATAAAGGGATATGTTAATGAGTGAGGGACTTATTTAAAAATAAATAAATAAATAAAAAAACACTTGCAAGGAGGGCTGTCAGATTTAACATTTAAATGCTCAAAAACGTAATTTCCTTTTTAACACCAGGATTTTCTTTTAATGTTTAATAAAAGCACATGATTCAGTATATTTTAGAACTGCTTTCTTGAAAAGTCTGGTCGACGGTTGTGCTCTGTCCATCTCCTGGCCTCCTCAGCTGATCTAAGAGCTGACAGATAGGACAAACCTTTGATTGTTTTTACTGTTTTAGACAAAATAATGTTACAAAGCCTTGTTTTACATGCAGTTATTCACTACTGAACAAACAAAGCAATTATTTAATTTAATTTAAAAAAAAAAACGGAAACTGATAAATGCATAAGAAACAAGCATGAGAAATGGCCCCATGTTCATCCCATTGCATTCATAATAGGTAAATAAATTACTCTCAACAGCAATGTTAAAATATCATCATTAAAATTACTTTGTAAGCTGGAAAAACTCTGAGGAGGTTTGTTTTAAACACTTTAGGGTCAATTTTCCCCACAGCAACCAGAATTTTTTTCACAACCATATGGATCATTTGCCTTCGTTAAGTCAGATGTTTTACAGGATGTTATTGCTTTGCATCAAACTAATAGTACCCAAAAAATCTGCTTTTTATTGGGATTATTCCTTGTTCTGTGTTACATTCTTCATTGTTGCATTTCCTTCATTTTACTTTATTTGATTCCTTCTTTTAATCGTTCTAAAAATCTGTTGTCCTTGTTCATTTTTTCACCTTTAAAGCGAAAACAGCTGTTGTCTTTTTCATGGAGGTACTTTTAAAAACTTTCTGTGGAATATTCTTGATAATTGCCATGTTTGGTATTGCTGCAATCATGATAAATATAGGTTTGCTTGAAGTTATGTTTGTCCATCCAGATTCTCAAACGAATATTTAAAGAATTCTTTCAAACAAAAGCCACAAAGCAATTGCACTCAGGGCTCCTGAATAGCTAGCAACCCCACTAGGCATAAAAAGTTTTTATTTCGGATTCACTTAAAAAAAAAAATAATAATAATTGATACCCTTATTCTTCCTACTTTGAACCATCATTACTATTTGTAGAAAAAAAGTTATCATTTTTTTTTTTTTTTTTTTTTTTTTTTACACCCTGATCCTGGTTGGTAGTAATTATAAAGCTTCTTATATCTGGTATCAACTCTCAGATGCAGGGAGTTGATTACTTGCAATCTCTCTCTATAACAAAGTCTATAATTGACGGTATGACCACTCCTCAGAAAATGTGCTGTTTTTCTAACAAGACAAGTTGCGTTAGGACAAGCAGATCCTCTAGCTTGTTTTGCAGGTAGCTTCTTTTTGTCTACTCCGATGACTATCTGTTCAGCTATGATCGCCCACGTCTTCAGCCTTTCTGCAGTTTGGAGCGGAGTTAGAATGAGAAGTGATGCTGATCTTTAATCAAAAATTTGGTATTGGATTTTAAAAGTGAATCCTTAACGGAATTAAAAAGTCTTGAATTTGCTTTTATGAAATATTAATTCTGTTCAGAAATATTTACTCAGTTTTGAAATAATTTTTGTTTTTTAGATTTTTTTTTCTACCATTATCCAAAAGATTTAATTCTAAAATTTTGCATCTTTTATTTGAATTTCTAAATGAAAATAAGAAGATCAATGTAAAAAAAAAAAAAATAATGGCCAACATATTTAAGGTCACAGAATTAAAAGCATTATAATGGCTGATGGGGTGGGGTGGGGACAATAATATCCCAGTCAGCTGTTTAACAGTCTTAGTTCTACAAGTCGAAGTGTTTTATACTTTGAATTAAAACTGACAATGAAATGTCAATAAGAAACAGTGTAGTGCCCATTTACCAAACTCCAACATCAGAAGTTACCTTCACCCTCATATAGTTTTATTGTTTTTGTAATGAGACCCAGCAGCTGTATAATCACTGTAAGTTTAGAGGTTTTGGATTTAAATGTTCCCAAAACTATAAGAAGGAAACCCATGAATTTAGGTTCGGATTAGTGAAGTTTGAAACGAAGAGGTGTAGCAGCCCTGCAGGTCGTCCTTTGTAAGGTCTGGAATGAAAACACCTTTGTTAACGACGACAGGTTGCTTTAAGTAGCTGCAGAAAACTTAGTGTTGTTTGTAGAATTGCCTGTTGATGCATGATCAGGTTGTGGTAGGAGTATAGCTGCCTGAGGCAAAAACAGCTTTGTTCTCTGACACCACAAAGGCTGTTGATGTTGTTTGCATCCTTACATTGCAGTTTCAATGAAGCCTCATTTATTCTCCACAGAAAGTCCTGTTCTACAACGATCAGCAGCATCTTTCAGCACCAAAGTGGACAGAACTGGCTAACCTGATTACCAGCTGCATGGATTACGAGCCCACATTCAGACCCACATTCCGGGCAGTAATCCGCGACCTTCACAGCCTTTTCACACCAGGTCGGTATATCCCTCCTTCCCCTGCAGACAAAATCCTTTCTTTGAGGTTTCAGATTATCAATTAGATGTTCGTAAGGATTTCTGACATTTTTTTTCAACATGTCTCTAATGGGTCATCATATGTGAAAAGCTTCCTGGAGAAGCTTACTCATAGCAAAAAGCCGTTGGCTCAGAATGTGCTGTGGTAATTGACTGACTAGTTTTCTGTAGAAATAAAATTAGGAAGAGACAAAAGGAAGTATGTTTAGGCAATGTTCTGCCTATAGAATCAAAAAAAGTTTTCTTTGTGATTATTTTTGGTGATAGTTACAAAACTCATCAGAAGTCATGAATAGTAGCATCTGGAATCAGAGCCTCAGTGGACCTAGTTTCATTGAAGGCTTACAAAAAAGAAGGATCAAACTAAAACTTAAGGCTGTTATCCAAAATGATGAATGAAATCTTTAATGCAAATGCATCTTTCTCCATTCTTAGATTACGAGTTAATCATGGAGGACATCCTGCCAAACCGAACCACTGGTGCTAGCTGGACAACCGGGGGTTTGGAAAACCAGGAGCCGGCTCTCTTTGAAGAACGCCACCTCATATTTTTACAGTTGCTCGGCAAGGTAATAACTCTTGATGACGACAAAGTGATGCAAGCATCTCTTAGATTGCACCATAAGATAGTTAGTGTTAAGCTGAACTGTCCTTAAGTTCCGTCCGTTATAATAAACAAACATTTCTCAATCTGTAATATTATACTATAAAAACAAGGGTTTTTTCACCTAGATTTGTTATGTCTTTAAGGGAAACTTTGGCAGTGTGGAGATGTGTCGCTACGACCCACTTCAGGACAACACAGGAGAGGTTGTGGCTGTGAAGAAACTCCAGCAAAGCACAGCAGAGCACATACGAGACTTTGAGCGGGAGATTGAGATCCTGAAATCTCTCCAGCATGAGAACATTGTCAAGTATAAGGGAGTTTGTTACAGTGCAGGTGCGTTTGTCATTGTAGCCCTCGTTTTACCCCTGAACCGTTGTGATTGAAGGACATCTGCCTCCTACAACATTTTGCCAATGTTGAGATTTCTGTTTGGAAATATACAACAAAATATAGCAAGAATAACTCCCGTAAACCAGCCTTAAATAGACCCCTGGTATATGTGAAAAGACAACACATAAAACTATTTATTTTTGTTACTTACCCTGCATGGCAGGTTTAAGGCTCCTGCTCTGCACTGAACTAGCTCATCCATATTTTCATAGACCGCACCTTCTCATACACATTTTAGGATCGGAATGGGCAACCCCCAAACATTTCACACAAACTCTGGTGCATGCAACTGCCATAAATGTTTTAATACTACATTGTGTCACTGTCACTTTACATCTGACATAATGCAGTATATGAATGAGTTTTTCTGGCCTGGACTGTGGTGAGTAACGGTGTTGCATCCAGTGCTTGTTGATTTTTGGTTTGGGTGCAGCTCCTCAGCCATGTGAAGCATGTTCCTTGGAACTGATTGCATACTGTTGGTTAGCTAACATGAAGACTATGGATTTTGGAAGTCTGTTGCTGCTGCAGAGCGTTTGTGACTTCTGTAAGCCGCACCATGTGCTGAGCCTGCTTTGCAACTTTATGGAGGTCATACTATATTTTATACACATGTGTGTTCATGACTGAAATTAAATATTACCAAAAGATAACCATGAAATGTTTACTAAGCAATAAATCACAACTGTCATAATGCTTAATATAGAGTTTCTGAGAGCAACCGTTATTATGGAAGCAGTCCCCCTGCATAAGCTTTTGATTTTTACGCACCTCTGGCCAAGAAACAGATTGTAACACCTAGTCTTGAATTTTTTGTGCCTTTCCCTAGGGAAA